CCCGCCCCGGCCCGCCCCGCCCCGCCCCGGCCGTCTCGGAGGGAAAGCAGAGGCCTGCAGCCCTGGAGTAAGCAAGCAGGAGGGAGCGTGTGCTGTGGCATGGAGGAAAATGGGAAAATGGGGGAAGGGGTACAGTGTCATCACACGTATACATTAAGACCCAGGGCTGGAAGCCACAGAGAGGGCTTTATCTGAGTTTCTTCACCATTACCAGGCAACTACAGCATCAGAACGATACAGGGCAATGCCTGGGTGCTCGAGAGAAGTCAGTTCAGCAAAAGGAGGGAGGAAGGGAGGGGTGCAGCACATGGTGGCTGACCAGTTCAGGACTCGTCATCCTGAGAGCTGATGCGGCTGGAGATGAAGGAGGTGTAATCAATTCATGGAAAAATAACCAGCAGGCAGGAATCAGAGCCCTTTACAGCACGCTTGCTTGGGTCCACCTGCAGGAATCAGAGCCCTTTACAGCACGCTCGCTTGGGTCCACCTCCGCCTCCCGCTGTGGGCCCGCACTGCTGCCGGGGCCAGGCCGGGTGCCCTAGCAGACCAGGCCTTGTGGCCCCTGTGGGGCACACCTACTGAGGGGCAAGAGAGGTGGCCAGCCTTCCCCCGGCCCGTCAGGAACACTTAGTAGTCAGTGCTTTTCAGGTAAGACTGGCACATCTAAGCCAAGTGGCCAGTCACCACCAGGAGAGACCCAGCAGCACCGGCTCTGAAAACAACCTGGATGCTTTCTCAGTCAAAACCTCCATCCCAGTGTTTCCCTGCAATGAACTTGAGCCAGTCAGTTTGCTTTCCTTACCTACGAGATGAGAAGAATGCTTCGAATCCCAGAGTACTGTGAGAGTTAAGCACCTTGATTCATAGAAAAATGCCTATGAAGTACTGCTCCCCAGCACGCAACAAATTATTAGTTGTTACTATTACTTATTGAATGCCATTTTGTTGTGAAAGCTGGAATAGATATTATAAGCAATGCATGTTTTAAGCTGGAAAAACACATTTTGTGAAGGCAATTGACCAGCTCAGCGTTTGTTCCTCAGCCATCCTCTTCCCCTGGCTTACTGCTGATGCTCTGCCACACCAAACGACTTGATCTATCGGAACCTTACTGACCGTACTGATGGTGAAAATTAACTGACATGTTAGCTCTTAGAGCAAGACCTAGTATACGGCAGGTGCTCAGTAATTCTTAGTTCTTTGTCCTACATAATGAGCAGTAACCACAGGATCGATCTTCAAATGTTTTAGGGTATATTTAATTTGGACCCTTTAAACTATGCCTGGAGCCTCCTGCTGCACATTGCATGCCGTCAGTACTTATTAATCCAATAATTGAATCCCTGAACGCAGTAACGGTGTGGCTGCAGGTTGACACTTACAGACGCCTCTCAGTGGCTCTCACCCTTCGGACGACACAGCTTTTACTAGCCACTGCCTAAGGACATTCATACTGAGAGAGAGAAAAAATTATTACCCAAGAAGGGAAGGAAGGAAGGGAAGTACACTCGGGGGAGTCAGAGGGAATCTGGAGCCTCCGAAGGCAGTTCTGGGACGGGGTCGGCAGTCAGAGCCGTGAAGCAGCCGTGAAGCTGTGTGGTGGCCTGGGCTCCGTCCACCTTGCAGTGCTGAACGCACACTACTGGCCTTCGCACGGCTGTGGTGCGACCCATAGCCACACTGAGCTACGCGGCGTTTACCCTAGTGTGTTAGAAGGGGCCCCTCAGACGTCAATGATGGAGTCCTGTGGTGTCGTTTCGAGGAGCCAGATCCCTCAGGTGAGCTCCAGGATGAGCTTAGGAGGCAGATGCCCGCTGTGAGGGCCTCTGGGACTTTCCCTGGCCCTGGCACATCCCCCAAAGCTCACGGTGGTGGGAAATCCTGCAGTTAGAGCAGAGCTGCTGGGGTGGATCTCCGTGGTGGAGCACGTGCCTACCACGTGCAGGGCCGTCGGTTTAATCCCCAGCACCACCTTCCCTGAGACAGGAATTAGGCTTTAGAGCCTTAAAAGCTTTGTGACTGCTGCTGTTTCCTTTTTAAATGTCAAATCCTGGTGTGGAATCTTACAATCTGAGAGGAGGCAGACAGACGGTGAGACAGAACCCCGCCCAGACCTCCAGGAAGCCCTGAGGGCTGAGGGGAGCAGATGGGGATGGTGGGAGGCCATCAGAGACAAGCAACCCATTTCGCAGGCGGCCATCCCAACAAAGGGACTTTCAGGTACTGTAGCCTCTTGTCCTAGGTGCTGGACTGGAACTCAGAGCCGGGTTGTTTCTGCCTTCCATACCAAGTCTCTATTTAAGCTGCCTAAGTCGATCGCTACCTCTGTGCCTTGAATCCCACCCTGAAGTGGAATTGCTGCCATCCTCATTACCGTGTCGTGAAGGTGAATTCAAGGTGAAACCGTCACGTGCTCACTGTGGTCATAAGGAGGTGGTCTACTAGATCATCCTCTCTCTACACGGAGCGATTCAGGCCTAAATAAGTTAGTTTGCAGCTGAACGAATTCATTTAAGAAAAAAAATGGGTGGAGCTGATTGTGAAGCTACCCAGGATGGTCTGTCAGGTTTTACTCCTGAGTCTCACTCACAAAATACTAGACCAGCTTCTGACACTTTTCCTCCCCCTCCCCTCTCTCTTTCTGATTCCTAGTGTGAAACGCAGCAACTGCTACATGGTCTGGGGCGGGGACGTAGTAGCCAGCTCCCAGAGACCCACTCGGAGCAATGTGGACCTGGAGATCAGCTGCCTTGTGGACCTGGCGATGGGCATGCTGTCCTTCTCGGCTAACGGAAAGGAGCTCAGCACCTGCTACCAGGTGAGGGACGGGAGCCTGGGGCCCTGGCATCTCAGACCCGGGCTGGGGGTGGTGTTGCTCATTCCTACTTGCGTTCAGCACACGTGTGCGTGCGCGCACGCATGCACACACACACAGTGTGAATCAGTGAGGGCCACAAATAAACAAGAACACAGTGACTGATTTGTACTGAGGGAAAACATTTATTTGTTGACCAGATATGCTGGCCATCCTTCTAGAGGAAGAGAAGAATTCTCTTTCGTATGAGCTCCAAGACTATTAATTTAATCCATCAGTATTTCTGTAAAGGCTTTGCTTCCTGATGCAAGATGCAAACAGAAAAGCTTCTTGCTTTAGGAAATGTAGATCCTCGAAGTAGAAACCAAAAGAAATGGACTGATCATGTAGTCCCTCTGAAAAAGGTTGTTAATAACCCCCCAGTGTGTCCTAGGACTTGCACTCGGGGCCTGGGCACTAAGCCTCTTTGTACTCTTTGTACTCTACCACTTGAGCCACAGCACCACTTCTGGATTTTTCTGAGTCGTTGATTGCAGATAAGAGTCTGATGTACTTTCCTGCCTGGGCTGGCTTCAAGCCATGATCCTCAGATCTCAGCCTCCTGAGTGGCTAGGATGACAGGTGTGAGCCACCAGCGCTGCAGTCTTCTTACGTGACCTCTTAAAATGTATTTATATAAATTTGTTTTCCTATTTCGTGGGCCATGAACTTCCACAGAACTGCTCAGGGAACCTGCGGTGACACTCATGTACCTCCCTGTTGTAAACACAAAAGCTCTTGTCTCCTCGTCAGGGGGAGCCAGGTGGGCTTGGGAACACGTTGCGCTGAATGCTTAGAACATGAAAAGCTCTGAAAAATACCTCAGAAAGAATCCGGTGTGGCCAAACACGTTTCCAGTTATTTGACCAAGACAGTGTTTTGTTAACCTTAACAATAAAGAAATAGTGTCTGAGCCGGGAACTCCACAGAGCCCACCATGGGAAATGCCACCTTAAGGAGTTAAACTCTCGTGCTAAATATTCTTGACACTTTGGAGCAGAAATGTACGTGGAGGCGAAGTCAGTGCTAAGAAAAGGAAGAGTGTGTTCCCTTCAAGAGCAGCTGTAAAACTGTTGATCAGGGAGAGACTTTCCAGTGTTCTGCGTGGAGGTGGCCCCTGAGGCCTCGTGCCGATGGGGAATGCGATCCATCAGTGGGCAGACAGCATGCGGCTCTTCTTGGTGGAGAGGCTCGCTCTGTGGGTGGGAAGAGGGAGCTACTGCAGGTTTCTGAGCAGGAGAGCGACATGAGAGGAGCCATGAAGGAAGCCAGCATCTTCCGGGGTCATCCGTTTAGACAACAGAGACTGTCCCGAGTCAAAGCCCTGATTCGTCAGCTTGCTGTAGGCCACAGCTTTGGAACTGAAGAGCCTCTTGGCAGCCGCTGTGTGTGCTGCTGTTGGAGAAGTGGGGACCAGACGGAGACCGGCCGGAGGGACCGCCCTCCCCAGGGCCGGAGCCAGCCTCTGCTGCTGTGCCGCGCAGCATGCGCAGCGCTGCTTCTCTGTGGTAAAGAAGAGACTGGTGTCACTGCACATGGCCAGTCCAGCCCAACTGCCCGTGGTCAGCAAAGGACGCCCACGAGGCCAGCGTTGAGGAAGGAAGTACGGTATTGTCACAGTTCTGCCCCCCCGAAGGCCTCTTGGAACATGTCTTCTGTACATCCACTTCTGTCCTTCAGAATCCATTGGCTTTTCCCATTCACATTTGACATGAGCTGAGCGGAAAGGGTCCTCCCTGAGCTGCGGTGAACTCTAGCACTAATAACGTGGAAGGCTGGCTGGACGTTGATGATCTACAAACATCCGTGAAATAAAAATACACACAAAACCAGATACGGCCTTCACAGCAGCAGCAGCAGCAGCTTGCCTGCTCCAGGAAGAGCTCAGAGCTCCAGGGTTGAGCTTGGGGTCCAAGAGGGGGTGCTGTGCAGCTTCCCCCCCTACCCAGTACTCCCCCCCCGCCCAGTACTCCCTTCCCCC